GCGGGGGCGCTCGGCGCTGGGAGCCCCCCGGGGAAACGTCCCGGGCGAGGGAGCGGCCTGCGATCAGCCGCCAGGCCGTTTCCATTCGCTTCCTTTAGTGATCCCTTTTTTATGGAAGTTCGGAGTACTCTTCGTTAGAGAAGACGCGTACACAAGTTTTAATAGGATGCAGATTACTTTATAATATCATGAGTTTAACGCTTTCTTTGTCGACTTGCTATTTTATAATGAATGCTTCTGGATTTCCCCCACCCACTTGGCCTTTCACCATTCTGGTTTGGCACGTTTCTCCAACTGACGTGGAAGTACTTTCTTCACTTAGGTAGTCTTTAGTAGATGAGAACATGTAGCTACTATTTTTGTACATATGCAACTGTAATTTTACATATGAAAAAATGATTTGGTTTATGAGACTTGGTTCAAATTCAAAACGATGAAATTGGCAGGTTATCACAACAGGGAAGTATGACTGGGAGTAGGATAAATTGTTTTATACTGTTATTTTATTATTATTAAGTGTATACAGTTGGAGATTGTACATTTCATTAGTTTAAGTTCTTAGCTTTGGTGAATCACAAAGTAGATAGAAATTTTTTTATCGAAAGGTGAAACTTGGCCTTTCTACACTTAAGCTTAGGACTGACGTATTCCATTAAATCATTTTTTTGTGCATTAAAATCAAGTCACTTCACTTAGAAGGAGTCCTTAAAGCTTACTGCTAAATTGATAAAAATAATTAAACGTATGTTTTTACTGTGCTTTTAAAAACATTTTTAATTTGTGTTAGATAATCATTCAGAAGCACGTCATGGACTTAAGAGATTCTGGAAGGTTCTGTGTTTTATAATTTGTGTTTTATCTATGACAACCTCTGATTTTTACATTTACCTTTATAGTCTGCATCAGGATTTCTGGCATTTGGAGACAGATGTTTTGAGTATGGTCAACGTCTTTTAGCCTTATTGAGATACTGAGTTTCAAGTCAAAGCTTCTCCTGGTAAGAGCAGTACCTGCTGAACGCAGTAGTATTATTTCCCTTTTACATCTGCATCTGATTTTCTGAATCAAACACTCCTGTTAATAGATTAGAAGAGTAAAATAAGATTTTCTTGAAACTAATCTGAAATGTCAGAAAGTTGGCTAGGTATATGCATTTTAAGTTACTTTTTTATTTTTATTTTTTTTAGTGTTGGGAGGACTGAAAAAGTGTAATGAATATCTTAGTTTCCTGTTTAGCCTGTGCTCTTCTGTCTCTTTGTAATTAGGCTGTACAGAAGCTCTAACAATATTTATAAGCTTTTCTTAGCAGTCGACAGAACTCAATTTGGGAAATAATATATTTGACAGTGTTCTGGAGCAGCTGAAATATCTTCATGTACTGCAGAAGGTTCATTTTGTTTGGAAGTAAGATTAGCGCAATATTATCAAACATATTTGGTAAGTCATTGTCAAATACAAGATGACAGCTGAGTCACTGAGCTGAGATTGACTTTCTATTATTATAGTTTCCACATATTTTTAATCTTTTAAAATTTTAAAAGTTACCTGAGTAAGACTATTTTGTAAATTATTTTTCTCCACAATGTTAAAGAATCTTTTTGTTACACTTTTGAAAACGCATTAGTATTTTGCAGACTTTATACTATTAATTTATATGTGATTTTCGCAGAATAGTTGAGGTTGGAAGGGACCTCTGGAGATGATCTAGTCCAACTGCCCTGCTCAAGCAGGGTCAGTTACTGCAGGTTGCAGAGGACCTTGTCCAGATGGCTTTTGAATGTCTCCAAGGACGGAGACACTACAACCTCTCTGGGCAACCTGTTCCAGTGCTCAGTCACCCTCACAGTAAAGAACGCAGAGCTTCTTGTGTTTGTTTGTGCCTGTTGCCTCTCATCATATCACTGAAAGGGTCTGGCTCTGTTGTCTTTACAGTCTCCCTTCAGATATTTATACCTGTTGCTTAGATCCCCCCTCAGTCGTCTTTTCTCCAGGTTAAACAGTCCCAGCTTTCTCAGCCTTTCCTCATATAAGAGGTGATCCAGTCCCTTAATCATGTTAGTAGTCCTTTGCTGGGCTTCCTCCAGTAAAACCATCTCTCCCTTATACTGGGAATCCCAGAACTGGACACAGTAGTCCGGGTGTGGCATTACCAGGGCTGAATAGACGAGGAGGAGGATCACCTCCCCTCGACCTGCTGGCAAAGCTTCCTGTCCCTCTGGCAGCCTTCTTGGGCCGCCTTTGCCACAGGGCGCGTTGCTGGCTCACGATCAACTTGTTGGCCAGCAGGACTCTCGGGTCCTTCTCTGCAGAGGTGCTTTCCAGCAGGTCAACCCCCAGCCTGTCCTGGGGCATGGGGTTATTCCTCCCTAGGGGCAGGACCCTGCACTTGCCTTTGTGGAACTTCAGGAGGTTTCTCTCCGCCCAGCTCTCCAGCCTGTCCAGGTCCCTCTGAATGGCGGCACAGCCTTCTGGTGGGTCAGCCTCTCCCCCCAGTTTAGTATGCTCAGCAAGCTTGCTGAGGGTGCGCTCTGTGCCTTCCTCCAGGTCACTGATGAATAAGTTGAACAGGATTGGAGCCGGTACTGACCCCCGGAGGACACCGCTAGCTCCAGGCCTCCAACTGGACTTTGTGCCACTGATCACAGCCCTCTGAGCTCTGCCGTTCAGCCAGTTCTCAGTCCACCTCACTATCTGCTTATCCAGTCCATGCTGTCAGTTACATTGACGTTTCCTCAAATGTCAGTTATATGCCCACTGGTGATGATAAATGTATGCAGCAAGCTGTCTGATTCCTGTTGCTCTCCCTTAATATGTTAGAAGTGTAAGATCTGCAATATTTGATAGAACTGATGATCTACAGTTTTTTATGCTATGCTTTCAATAGTTGTCCTGTTTCATATTGCATAGGAAAGCAAAATGTACTTAAATGTACTTACTGAGTTATATAGTTCTCAGTATGACATAGATATCTTTTCTTCTGCTTGAGAAATTATTGCTTTATTGGCATTTACTATAAAAACAATTCCTTTAACTCTTCTTGTATTGAAGCTTTTATTTTTGCAATCCGTCCATGTAATGATTTTTCTGATCAGATATATGTGAAAGAAATAGTGTCAAACATATTATTTAGTGTCCTAGTGGTCGTTAGGTCATTTTGATTTGCACTTTGGATGTATTGAACAACATGCATGCAAATAAGTCAAGATGTGTGTAAGATAGGAAAATGTACTTTGTTCAAGTAGTGTAATTTTTGGATGAGAAATTAGATTTTTTTCTTTTTAAAAATTTGCTGACTTATCTAAAAACTAAGTAATCCAGTATGCCTTTGGTCAGTTCAGAAATGCATCCTTTCTGATGTGTTACTGTCTTTCTTTTGATTTCACAGTTTTTGGTATATATTCCTTTGGAAGATTTGAGTCA